TTTATGGAGAGCTATCTCTTCAACATGCAGAACAGTGTTCTCCTTCACTCAGTGGGGCTCTTTCTGTATCAGCCAGAGACTCAAATCAAAGTAATAAACACCATCTTTTCTTTGTTTCACATTGAGCATATGATGTGGGCCATTAAAACAGGACAATCATGGTCTTACTACATAGACCTCCAGGCACAAAATTGGGTAAAAAATAATCTTTCGTTATCATTGGTCCAACTGAGACTCCCATCCTATTTTATTTGTCCATTCAATAATATAATGAATGTCTGTGAACTTACCATCAGACATGAAAACTAAAACATTACATTCCAGGTGTTAATTTAGCTCAACTTTGTAATTCCAGCTAAGAATGATTACATTCTCTTTTTTTTCATTCTGTTTTCATCAACTCCAACAGTTGGATCTGTTGGATTAAACAGTTTTGATTTTAATCACGTCTTCCGAGGCATTAGATACTTTTGACAAACAGAACACAGTAAATAAAGCTGTGCTAAGACTTGAAGGTTGAGTGCTATCACCTGCTAAGTAAGTTAAGAGCCTGACTAAGTAGTCTCTGAGCATGTCTGATTCAATACAGAATTTCCACAGAAATTTAATTGTCTCATCACTCAGGCATCAATTATATTATGAACAGTAAATCACACTGTACAAGTAAAAGACTCCACATACTGAGAGATTTTCATTGATCTGATGAGGAATCCACAATTTCTTTGAGATGCGGAGAAGGTGCCCCACCTCTGACATGGTCTGGGGCCCTCCAGATTCAGACTTAAGCTTTTACTGGTTTTACATAATTATGTTCTATGCGAGCTTTTTTTCTTCCTTTTACTCAAAAGAGGGATCTCAAGAATTCACCGAAACTTTGAAATATGTTCATTTAGTGCTAATACTATGAGTACTTATCTTATAATAGTGGCCCGGTACATAAAATTTGTGCACATGGGGGGAGGGGTGTCCCTCAGCCCAGCCTGCACCCTCTCCAATCTGGGACCCCTTGGGGGATGTCTGACTGCTGGTTTAGGCCCAATCCCACAGGACATCGGGCAGTCAGACATCCCTCTTGCAATCCGGAACCACTGGCTTCTAACTGCTCACCTGCCTGCCTGCCTGATCACCCCTAACCACTTTGCCTGCCAGCCTGCTTACCCCAAACTGACCCCCCACCAGCCTTCTCACCCCTAACTGCCCCCCCTTGCTAGCCTGATTGTCCCCAACTGCCCCCATCAGCCTGCTCGCCCCCAAATGCCCCCCCCCGCTGGCCTGCTCACCCCCAACTGCCCCCCCGCCAGCCTGATTGCCCCCAACTGGTCCCCCCTGTTGGCCTGCTTGCCACAGATTGCCCCCCCTGCTGACCTGCTTGGCCCCAACTGCCCCCCCCCACTGGCCTGATCACCCCCAACTGTCCTCCGCTCCTGGCATGATCGCCCCTAACCACCTCTGCCTTGGCCCTGCCACTATGGCTTTGTCTGGGCAGTGGCTACGAAACCGGCTGGGGCACCAGCTTGGCTCCATGGCTCCGGCCAGCGTCACCATCTTTGTCATGTCAATTTGCATATTCCCTCCTTCTTGGCTGTGGGTGCCTCCATCTTCATCGCAAAGTGATGGTTAATTTGCATATTACTCTTTTATTACATAGACTAGAGGCCCGGTGCACAAAGATTCGTGCACTGGGGGGGGGGGGGGTGTCCCCTCAGCCCAACCTGCACACTCTCCAATCTGGGAGCCCTCAGGGTAGCCCTCTCCAATCTTGGAGTTTCTGTCTATCTTTGCACTCGTATGAGCGAATTGTCTGAGACCCCCAACCCAGTTTGGTTTGTTGCTCACAGAATAATAGAGGCATTTTTTTTTTCTTTGCTCCAATGGTGGAGATTTCTTGGAAGTTTTAGGATATCTTCCCTTTAATTTTTCCTAGACACTGTGATTTTACTATGTCTCTCACCTTTGCTTTCCCTCCATCCCCAACCACAACAGTAACTTGCTCCAGGCTCACTTTGCTCTAGTGCAGGGGTGGGCAAATTTTTTGACTCGAGGGCCACAATGGGTTCTTAAATTGGACCAGAGGGCCAGAACAAAAGCATGGATGGAGTGTTTGCGTGAACTAATATAAATTCAAAGTAAACATCATTACATAAAAGGGTACGGTCTTTTTTTTTTTTTTTTAGTTTTATTCATTTCAAACGGGTCGGATCCAGCCCACGGGCCGTAGTTTGCCCAGGAACGCTCTAGTGTCTAGATCCGTCTACCACGAGAACTACAATTCCCAGCATTCCTGGTGCTCCCTGCAGTCTGAGCTTCCACTTCTGTTCCTGGGCTGCCACCAAAACTACTATTCCCAGAATTCCTGGTGCTCCCCACGCTCTGGGTTTTCCCTACCGAGGGAGCCACGTCCCCCCAAGGGACTGACTGAGGAAGCGACCAAGGGAGCCACATCCCCCTAAGATGCCGGCTCTCCCACTCTGCTCTGTGTATGCAAATTACCTGCCATGTTTGCAGGATTAATTTGCATACTCACTCCTCATTGACTGGTGGGTGTGGCTTGTGGGTGTGGCTTGAGCATAGTGGAGGGACAGTTAATTTGCATGTTGCTCTTTTATTATATCCTATCTAATAATAGACAAACATGATAATTAACCATACTTCCGCTACGCTTCCCATTGGCTAATCAGGGTGATATGCAAATGAACTGCCAACCAAGATGGTGGCCAGCAACCACGCAGCTGAAGCGAACATGAGGCTTGTTTGCCCCAGCGATGGAGGAAGCCAAGGTTCCCCGCCTGCGCAGCCTAGCTCTGACCTCCGGATGCAATAATGTTGCAATTATAGAAGCTAAACAAACCCCAGATACCTGCTTTTGGCCAGCCGGCCTCCGAGCTGGAGCTGCAACAAAGTTTCAATTACAGAAGGTAAATAAATCCCAGAATAAAATAAAGAAAGAACAAAGGAGAGACTGGGATCTTCAGTTGCAGGCTTGGCCTGCCTGAAAACAGACCTCAGTCTCTCATCCAGGCTGGCCAGGCACCCCAGTGGGGACCCCCACCCCGAAGTGGGTGCAGGCAGCCTGAAAACAGCCATCAGCCCCTCACCCAGGCTGGCCAGGCACCCAAGCAGGACCCCCACCCTGATACAGGACACCCTTCAGGGCAAACCAGCCAGCCCCACACATGCACCAGGGCTCTATCCTATATAGTAAAAGGGTAATATGCCTCCCAGCACCGGGATCAGCGGAGTCAAGGGGCCTCCTGGCACTGGGATCAGCGTGACAGGGGGCAGCGCCCAAACCCCCTGATCGCCCTGCGGCTCTGTGTGGGACAGGGGGCGGGGCCACAACCTCCCTATCCGCCCTGCTCTGTTCCTGACAGGTGAAGGCACCCCAACCCCCTGATCGGCCCTGCTCTGTACCTGATAGGGGGGAGCTCTCCAACACCCTGATCGCCCTGCGGCTCTGTGTGTGACAGGGTGCGGCGCCCCAACCCCACCACCCCACGGGCCCTGCTGTGTGTGTGACGGGGTAGAGCCATAACCTCCCCATCGGCCCTGCCCTAAGTGTGACAGTGGCGGCGCCCCCAACCCCCTGATCGGCCCTGCTCTGTGGGTGATAGAGGGCGGCGCCCCAAACCCACCCCACCTCACGGGCCCTGCTCTGTGTGTGATGGGGTAGAGCCATAACCTCCCCATCGGCCCTGCCCTGAGTGTGACAGTGGCGGCGCCCCAACCCCCTGATCGGCCCTGCTCTGTGGGTGATAGAGGGCAGCGCCCCAACCCCCTGATCGGCCCTGCTCTTTGTGTGACAGGGGGCGGTGCCCCAACTCCCCTATCGGCCCTGCTCTGTGAGTGACAGGGGGGAGCTCCTCAACCTCCTGATGGGCCCTGCTCTGTGCGTGACAGGGGGGAGCTCCCCAACCCCCTGATCGGCCCTGCTCTGTGCGTGACAGGGGGCAGCTCCCCAACCCCCTGATCGGCCCTGCTCTGTGCGTGACAGGGGGCAGCTCCCCAACCCCCTGATTGGCCCTGCTCTGTGCCTGACAAGGGGTGGCGCCGCAACCTCCCCATTGACCCTGCCTTGAGTGTGACAGGGGGCGGTGCCCCAACCCCCCAATCGGCCCTACCCTGAGCATGACTGAGGGTGGCATTGCAACCTCCCAATCTGCCCTGCTCTGTGCATGACAGGGGGCGGCGCCCCAACTCCCCAATCGGCCCTGCTCTGAGCCCAACCAGGGGCTGCACCTAGGGATTGGGCCTGCCCTCTGCCACCCGGGAGCAGGCCTAAGCCAGCAGGTCGATATCTCCCGAGGGGTCCCAGACTGCGAGAGGGCACAGGCCGGGCTAAGGGGCCTCCCCTCCCCCCTGAGTGCACAAATTTTTGTGCACCGGGCCTCTAGTCTATATCTATAAAAGCCTAAGAGACTGGCCAGTTGGCCAACTGGCCAACTGGCTGGTAGCTATGACACACACTGACCACCAGGGGGCAGACGCTCAACACAGGAGCTGCCAAGCTACAGCAACTTTGCAGAGTGCCCTCTCACACTCCGGGACCCCTCGGGGGATATCCGACTGCTGGTTTCAGTCTGATCCCCGGCAGGCCAGGCTGAGGGACCCCTCCAGGGCCTCTAGTATAACTAAAAATATGAGATGAGAAAAGACAGTGTGAACACCACAATGCACTGTGAGAATGAATGGGAAAATTATTGTTTTATAATTAGC